TCCAATCCCTAACATTCTGTGGTTCTGTGGTACCATTATAACCAGCATTAGTTCAGCGGCAGACCAATACACTTTCACAAAATCACTTTATCACAAAGGTGTCTGAAAAGGAGAGAAGTAACGTACGTGATTTAGGCAGTAACATTAGGTAACAAAATTTTTGGGCTTGAATTTTTCAGCTAACAGGTTTCTAAGGGTGGGGCAGAGTTTTTTGATGAGGAAGGCAGGGGACTGGTACACCACATCTGATCTGATGCACAAAGAAATTGCCTGGACCTTGATATATCTGTTCTAGGAAAAAGAGAAGCGTTGGATATTCCATATGCTCCTTCCACAGTTTTATTAGGATCCATACAATTCCTGCCATTTTTTTTACTCTGAACTCTTAACAAAGACTTTTATCTTTTCATGGTCTGAATTCTGCATTCTTCCTGGATCAAGAGAAATATCGCTGTTCTTACCTTTGTAACAAGGAAACATGCATCAGTATGATTAACTACAGAACAAACTGTGATTAAAACAAGTTAATGCAATTTGTCATTCCAATTACGCTCAAACAAAAGTAGCTCATGGCTTGTGCTTTTCAGAGCAGCACAGTAACCATGCTCATTGGTCCATCTTCAAAGAACCGCTGCCTTGTTTTCCATTTTTCAGTACGGTGCTGCTGAAAGAGGGAGTTGTTTTGGGTGGGGTTGGGGTCTCGTTGGTTGGTTTGGTGTTTGTTTGTTTGTTTTTTACAAAGGCAACATGACACTCATTTCAGTAAATCCTTCTAGCAAAAATATCCAAATAGCCTTTTGTCCCTATTAGATGTATTTTACTTCATATACAAAAGAAAAAGACCATTCAAGCAAAACAAAAACAAGCAAAAATGTGCAGCTTACTTTGCAAAGACCCAAATCGTTCATTGTCCAAAAAAAAAAAGATGGGTTCATTTCTTGTCCAACATCTTAAAAGTTGACTTAATCCTATGAACAAGTACTTCTTTTTCTGCAGCTTTCGTGTTTCACAGCATACTTCTAAGCATGTATTCTAAGACAATTTCTAGCCCTCACAAGTGTTTGGTAGAACAAATAAATGCGGTAGAACTTTGCTTCAGGTGTACTTCAGGTGAACGTTAAATACTACTTCTGGAATCAGACACACATTACCCACACTGCATGGATACCGTTACCTAAGAAGTTTGCAATTGTAAAAATGGTAAAGAACAGCATTGATGCCTAAAGCTGGGCAATACAAAGTGTCATGTCCTTGAACTAACACGTACCAGCAGCAAACAATGTAAAATAAAGTTATTTTATATGTGACACATTTTACAAGATGATACAGCAAATCACTTCCTCAGTAAATCCATGACTCGGTTTTGAAAGGAGGCTTTGTTAATTTAGAACTCAACAGCAAGTATAAAACATTAAAGCCATCTTAGGACTGAACTCCACTTCTATTATTTTTTAATTATTTTTATACATTGTCTTATGATTAAGACATTCATTACTGTTTAGCACATCATTTAATTTACAGTAATCTCTACAGAACAATATAGTTAATTCAGTATCATCAATAACTTTATACAGACACAGTATTGAAGCCATATCCTCTTTTGCTTACTGTCAAATACAAAACAGCTTATATAGACTAAAAAAGCTACACACCACAGTTGTAGCACACCGTATTTTGTGCCTGACTAAAGTTTACAGTAGTGGCTTTTTGATCTTTCAAGACAAATAAACATGATACCACATGGCAAACACCTGTGCAAATTCAGGCTTCAGTGGAAGGCTTCACTACCTCCTTTTTCCAGAACTACTTTTTCCTGCTTTACTGCTGCTACTACCAGACTTGCTAGAAGATTTTGAAGAGAAAAGTCTTGTCATGAATTCAGAGACATCTGGCAGCTCATGGTTGGAATTCAGCATGTTCATTGACTGCTCCATTTCCTGCATGCAAAGATTAGATCACCTTAATAGCTTGTAACAATTCTGGCTGTTTCCAAGGCATCAGTTGAAAGATTGTATCGGGAAAATGTCAAATTTTCCCAAGTACTGTTTGTAGTCTTCCAGGGTACATAGTGCTACTTATTTCTATGCAACCACAGCCAAATGCCCAGCTACACACAGAAACATAAAACCCAAGAACTAAAAGCACTGGTGTATGGAAAAAGGTAACCACGTCTTAAGCAGTCTTACAGGCCAACCACCTGACAAACAAAAATAACTTGCTAAAAGAGAAAAATGCCATTACTTATTTTCAGCATTACTTTCCTCCATTTTAAAATTTTAAGCTTTCATTTAGATTTTCGGACCTGTGCTCTCACAGATTTCACACAGTTTTGTGTCCTCATATTGGTATTACTTATGCTAAATCTAACACAATTTTGAAGCTGCTTGAAGGGATTAGATATTTTTATTACCCTACTTTGTAACATCAAGCTATTAGTGTACAACAGCTAAGTTTTCTTTCTTCCATGAGAGGAAGGATTTTAATGAGACCATATATCCAGCTAAGCTTAATGTAACTTTAGAGTTTAGTATAGCAGCTCTGGGAAATCAGCATGGTTTAAAACAGATCCTGAAGTGCTTTTAATGACTACGACAGCTGAACTACACATCCACGATGTGCTAATGCTTATAGTAATTGCCAATTTAATGTGGGATTGTCACCTTGCTCTTCATTCAGTACGACAGAGCTTTTAACTGTTTTCAAGGTACAAATGAAGCAAAACCTGTTACAGTAGAGCCTTGTTACTATTACATCTATATTATACCTGTACTAGTGCCTCTACTACAAGCACAGTTACTAAATCATTAACTCTCTATAAACTCCTAGTGTGCTGATCCCATAAAGAAAAAACAAGCTAACTTGAAAAATATAATATAAGCTCCATACTCTCCACAAGCAAACTGAAGTTGGAAGAATTTAATATATGGTCATTTAGAGAATGCCATTACAACTGAGTTTCTAAAAGCTACCTTCTCCTATTCTTTAAAGATAATTTAAATTACAAGCAAGGTTCATGCAACTTAAAATTTCTTCTTAGCAAGTCATATCAGTCAGCTAATAAGAACTAAATTGTTAGAAGTTCTGATGCTTTACTGTAAGCAGTATCAGATCAGTGAAAAAAGGAAGAAGTGATACTTTTAAAATTCCAAAGTTCAGCTTGGTTTGAAGAACATACCATGGATATCGAGCATATCTTCGTATCCTGTCTTTATTCCAAATTACAGCCAAAAGAGCATTACATAGCTCTGATATGCTTTTTATAGGTATTACCGTAAAAAAAAAGACTCCAACACCTATAAAGAACTACTGAAGACAGTGGTCACTGAAAGGAAAAGGAGTTTAAATTAATCAAACCCTCAAAAAGCAGCCACCCAAGACAGACAAGGAATACTTCTAAAAATAAGAAAAGATTTAGCAGACACCTTGAATCTCCATTTTGTCCTAGCCTTCTGCTATTCGGCATTTTGCATGGTGAAAGGACAATAAATCAGATAATTTAATGACTACATTAAAACTCCGTATCATATACACTATTGTGACAGCTGGATTTAACTCTTGTAAGCCACATGGTTTAGGTTGATGGACGAGAGAGCCCCACATCATATAATTCTCAACATACTTGATATTTATTAAATGATGTCTAAAAATGAAGTGCTAGATTTAACATAGTGCAAAAATACATCGGAAATCTATAGAAAGTAGCTTTTGAGAAACTGTATTTATCACTCCAAAGAAACTCTGGAAAACATCGTTCACACTGTAACACTTTCAAAGCTGTGCCAAACAATTTATTTCTGCGTTCTGCTGTTTGACAGCAAATCCATGAGTCTGAAATGTTAGAATTCATTGTTAGAACAGTAACACTGTATTAACTGGATGAACCCCATTAAGACTTCTTAAAAGCCCAGTTTTGTTTTTATTACTTTCCTATACCTTAAATCTCATTATCTTTGTCTCTACGTTCTCTATGCCTGCATCAACTGAACGTACTTACCCGTCTCATATCAGGATCGCTGGTGTTGACAACTTTAGGTAAAAGCACAAATATCAGTAGTGGAAGAACCATCATCATCACCTACACAGAAAACAGCAAGTATTTCTTCAGCTGAGATGCTCCAGACATTTTAGACACACTGACACAAAGCTTTTAGCTAAACAGCCAAATTCTGCAACGACTGCACTGTGAGTCAATAAGCCACTAACAGTAACTCACTTGTCAGGAAAGGAACCTGATAAGGAAGCATTATGTTTTAAATAACCAATTTCTAAGTTGGATCATTACAGGAAATGCTTGTTATCTCTTTCAACTGTAATAATGACAATCTTGCAACATGGTACCTCCATGCCACTAAAGCAACAGCACGTTATCAAAGGAAGCAGAGTATGGGCTATTTTCAGAGAACATACATTAACAGAGTGGGTATGCAAGGGACAAGGGGTCATAGAGAAACTTTCTGTTCGTAAACAAGTAAAAACCAAAGAAATAAAACAATCCTCTCAGAAGAACAAAGTGCACATATCTTTTCTCAATTATTTTATTCTTGGTGTTCCAAAGAATAGCTGTATTTGGATCCCTGGCTTATTTTTAACCTTTGTGTGTTTCTTGCACATACCATAGGGTTCATGAGGAAATCTGTCCATCCCCAGGATTCTCTCTTTATAAAATATGAAGGAGGTCCAGAAGATTTCATCTGGAGTGGATATGGCAGCCTGACAACTTCAGAGGTTTTGATGTAATTCACATATCTTGCTCTAACGAGGAAAACGTAAATAATTAAAAATACAAATACAATCCTTAACAAAAAATAAAATCATTGAATAATATTCCAAGTAAAGTTTTAATAACAGACTACGAACAAAAGTATCTGCTAGGCAGTGTTGGCTAGGCTTCACTTTTCAGAAGCTAGTTTCTCTGAGCAGCATACTTTATGGGATCAAGTGATACCCACTTTACCTTCTTTCCAGGCTAGCTATTAAGCAGACTGAAAAACCTGAGGTGAAAAACAGACCTGCAGATCAGAAACACCAGAACTATCTGATCAAATGTGGCTTCTGCAAAACACTTTTTCTCACCGTGGTAACGAGCAAGAAAAGCTACAATGTTTAAAGAGAAGGTACAGCTTTGAACAGTGTCGGGCAGCTTAAACAGTTTGCTCAGAGCAACAATTATTTCTATATCAATTTAATATTACCTTTTCCCTAAGGGCATTATTTTGCATTTCTCAATACTGAATCTCAGTCTTTATTACTTTATAAGGCATTTCCACAGTTCTTCACTTAGGCTTAGTATTTAGTTACTTTGTACTGTCATCTAATTTTGTCACTCTTCTCCCACTTTTCATCATTTATGGATATTTACCCACCTTGTGCAACTCCAGGGATGACTTCTGCCCATTACAAGAGAAACCACTTACTCCTTCTGATTTTTTTGCCAAATATTCACCCGAAGCACGCCTTTTCCTCCTACCTGATGATGATGTATTTTCTTCAAAAGCTTTTCAGATACATAGCTGTTATCCACATGCTGTTTCCTCTTTCTAAGTATTCCAGTATTTTAAGTATTTCCCTTAGAAAAGCCCAGTTGACATTTTGCCCAGGTATCACATTTTGTCATGCATCTCCAAACTGTATTCCTCATGATAGTTTCTACCTGCTTGGCTGGTAGCAATGTGCTCTGCAGGCATATCCTAGCGATTCCTCAGACATCAAAACACTACAAAGTGAGAGGTTATATACACCACCATTTTCACCAAGTTCCTTCTGTATTTCTTACTTTTTTTTTTGCCAATGAGATACTGCCTAACAAAGTACAAAACCAACAATTTTATGAAGTTTGGAAAAAAATCTAGGCTCAAACAAATTGTGCTATTATTACCACAGAGTGCTGGCACTGTTTTCAGTTTGAGTTTTCAATTTTTATCCTCCCCTAAAAATACTGCTGCAGTGTTTGTGTCAATGTTTGTACTCCTAAAATGTACCAGCATCTTTTGGAAGGTACTGTAGAAGACAAACTTGGAAGTTAAGATGCTTTATGTGTGCTGATACAAAGTAAAATGGACTACAAACACGTTCATTTAAATGAAAATCACCTTATTAGACAGTACAGCCATTTGTCTGTATTCCTTACTGAACAGTGTGCAGTTACAGATGTGCAGTTATAGTTGTTTCCTGTTTGTAGCAGGAAAAAAAAAAAGCTACAAAAATACTGCAGGCTGGCAACTACCAGCCTTTGCCAGTAACTGTAAGGAGGATCTTCTAGTGGTGTAACAGGAATATTTTAGACTTTAGAAACAAAATGAATTAGAATTTCATTGTGCCACGTCTTGACAGAACACGTATCAAAACGAAAGGAAAAAGGGAAGAAGAAGAAAAAAAAAGGTGTTAGCAAAAGATAAAGGAGTTAATTGATTTATGTCTACATTTTATTTCAGGATACCTGCATAAGAAAATAACAGCAGTAAACAAATAGAGGGACTATTTTTATCCATTTCCTCTATTTAATGCCACAAATATGAAAGGACGAAATAAATCAAGACTTTGGATTTTAAGAAAAGTGATGTTAAAAGAAGCTGAAACATACAGTCTGAACAGGGACACCAGATCTCCAGCACTGCTCACATCACGTCCTACACCGTGCTGTCGCGCATACTTAATACATCAATACAGAAGAAAAATCAGGAAAGGCTCACCTCATTTTGCCTTTTGAAGTTATGTCAACTCGCACAGGCTCAAATTTATGAGCAGGGGATATAACTTCTACTACATAAGATCCTGAAGGTACATCATGAACCACAAAACTTCCATCTGTCCTGAAAAAACAGTCATTTCAGCTACATTTCAATATGTTTCAGTACACAAGTGAAGGTGCGTTATTTTTCTTATTTTTTTTTAAGAAGAAACTGTAAAAGTATCATTTTATATTATAAATCTTAATATATATTAACAACAACCACCAAAAGGAAAATTCAAATTGCTCGGCACTTCTAACATCAAACCCCTTAATCATCACACATCAACGTGTGCCATGACAGGAGCAGAAATTACCAGTTGTGTCAAAATTTTCTCTATGCCTATGCCTTACAATAGCCCTCACGCTATTGTCTTGCTGGAGAAATAATTTAATAGCCTACCTAAGATTTGAAATGGTTAATTTCATGTGTTCAAATGATGGCAGAATCGACTTACACCTTTCCTCCTCCTTCTGAAATGCATACAACCAAGTTTACTTTGCTTCAGTACTTCTGCTGGTAGCAAAAAAACCCAAAAACTGGCTACCTACATAGCGTGGGTAGGTATCAGAGATGACTTAATGCACAGAAATTGTGGTTTGTGCCTTTACTGCAAACTAGAGGTTTTTACTTTTAATTGCTCCCTTTAGGAGTAGCGCACGCTGGAAAGCTCTGTCACAGCAATAAGGAAACTAAAAGCTCTGAACATAGACACAGAAGGGATCTTTAGACAGACTGCTTTTATTTTAAAATACGAAACTTCAATATTCGGTGAAAATATTAGTAAAAGGATACTTGAGAGCTTCAGCACCGATTGCCATTAATTTAAAGTACAGAAGCTTGCAGTTCTCCTCCTACATACTTCCAGAAGTTTCCAGGAAGAAAAACATTGCTCTCTACACTTTTAAAATTTATACTAAAGATCTCTCTCCTAAAAGTAAGACTCAAAGTTAAGACCAAAAAAGCCGTTCAGAGGAAAAAAAAAGTAATACACCCTGTACATTAGAAAGATCAGGAAACAAATCAATGAACCCTCAGAAAGAATTGTCCTTATGTCCTTCACACAAGATCTCTCTCTCTCCGAGATGTACATCACTTAAAGACCTTCCAGCCATGAGGACAGAGGCACATACACAGCACCGTGCAGGTGGGTTTCACTGGTACTTCATGTGATGGTTTGAACCCCTAAGAATGCTTACATTATCTTGTATTTCAACTGCTATGAGGATGTTTCCCTAGTAATTTCCTTTCAATTTGTCATTCTTTACAGCATTCTTTTGACAAAACTGTTACAGGTTTTTTTTCTAAAGATTTATTTAAATAACAAAGAAAATCCTCACTTAATGTACTGCTATCCAATACTGCCTTTTTAGAAGAAAAGGTTCATTTTTATTACTGTGGGGAATTACCAAGCAAACTGCTTTTAGTCTTCAAACAGAGTTCTTACTAAAAGTACACTGCTATCCAGTACTGCCCTCATTTTAAGCGACAAAATAAATACCAACATTAAAGCATTTTTGCTAAAATGTACCATGCTGATGGTAGCACAACATCTACAAATATGCTTATCAAACGGAATAACTTCTGTATTAGCTGCTTGGCTTTAAGTTTTATCAATAACATTTGATACTCCTGTAAATAGGTGTCAAATGAATGTAATCTATAAAGCTTCATATCTACACTGTCATAAGTATGGTATGCTCTTAGCTAAGACTATTTCCTCATATTTCAGACACCTGGAGCTTACCAATCCCATGGTATTTATTAAACGAGCTCCTAAATACGATGTCAGGCTCCCACAACTTGGTTACGCTGGCTTATGGTGCTACACTGACAAGACTGCAAGCTTTGCAGGGTGAAATTTGCTGTGTTAACCTATCAACTGTTCCAGAGTGAAAGTTCAGTTCAACTTTCACTGCAGAGGGAATAAATCAAAATTCTTGATATTTATGAGATGGTGTATCTTAATTCCATACAAATGATCTACTTTTAATACAGAATTTAAAAAGCAATGTTATACTGCATTAACGATCATAAAATAGATTTTAGAATTAGCTTCCACTCTTGAAATTACATTAGTTCAATACTTAATTCCGAGGACATCATCTATGTTTTAGTATCTCTAGATCCTCTGCTGATCTGAATATACCCACTACCACATGAGACTGAATAAGCTGATGTGATTCTTTACAGCTTCCAAATCTCTTTGCATTGTCTTTTGTGAATCACAGAATCACAGAATCGCTC